TGGACTCCTTCTGAACTGCATGGAGTAAATGGGCTTTAGGATACTGTGATGCCCAGGAAAAGGGCAACTATGTCAATTATGGAGGGTGTGTATAGGTTCAACTGCCTGTGGTTTTGAATGGAATGAGAATGCCCATGTCTGATAACTTCTCTCTAGGATTTATAATCAGTATTTTCTATCAGTTGTTTCAATTACTGTGTTCAAGTTATGTGCTCAAACTGAAGACACAAGCCTCCCACAATTCATGAGGAAATTTTAATTTCTCTTGGTGCGAACACAGCTCTCCACTTACCCTTTATTGCTAATCATTGCATGATCTCAAGAGCCCCAAGAGGAGAGAAGGTGTAGCTAACGCACAGGGATAGCTCCTCTATTACAGCATTTAGGGGGTGAGCGACTCCATTCTGTGGCAGGGACGGCTTTTCTGTTTCATGTGCCAAATGTATCTCTTTGTCTATTGATTTATTTTATTCCTTTTGCATTCCTGTTTGTCTCTGGATTATCAAGCATGCGCAGAGGACTGTGGGAGAAGTGTCAAGATTACCTGAGAAAAATCAACCGGGATATTGCCCAGCTGCTGACCCACTCCCGATCCATAGGTACATGCTGCTTAAACACATGCTGGTTTTCCTCGCTCTGCTTTCCCAAGGGACAGAATAAGGGGAATGCACATGAATTGGATTCCTGTTTGTCTCTGGATTATCAAGCATGCGCAGAGGACTGTGGGAGAAGTGTCAAGATTACCTGAGAAAAATCAACCGGGATATTGCCCAGCTGCTGACCCACTCCCGATCCATAGGTACATGCTGCTTAAACACATGCTGGTTTTCCTCGCTCTGCTTTCCCAAGGGACAGAATAAGGGGAATGCACATGAATTGGTAGTGGTTTCCCCTAAGTCTGTTTTTTTTCTTTTTCTTATTTGAATTTATTTTTTAAAGCATTTCTAAGATGAGTTTTTTTATTTGTCTTCTCTACAGATCAGTCCTTTCTTCAGTTTTTTGGGGATGAATTTCTTCGCTTGCTTCTAACAAGATTCATCTTCTGTTCAGCTACTATGAGGATGCACAAGATTTTTCGGGTATGCAGGGATATGTGTCCCTTTGAGAGCAGCAGTCCAGTGCATATAGATCTGCCCTGCCTCGGGATGGAAGGGTCTTAGGGCTAAACATATCACTGAGTTCATAAAGATAACTGACGCTCACATGCCAACGCCTACAGCTTGTGTTGAATCTGTGCCTTTGTATCTCTCCAAAGGCATGAAGCCTTTGACTTGCTGAAGTATTACTCCTCTACAGAAGTAGCAGGCACACTCTAATTCATTTATGTCACTCTGAACAGCTTCGTGTGCTAGAAAAGTTCCTCTTAATAATTCAAGATTATTATTTCTACACAACTAACAATGTGTAGAAGAGAATATAAGAGGAGGTAGAGAGGAGTGGAATGTTATTGCTTGAATGTTTTCTAGTGTGAATGGATTTAGAAAGGTCTTTGAAATGTAAATAAATAAGCTAAACAGGAAGATGATATTTCCCCTCCCTGTTGGTTAATACTGTGCCAACAGCGAAGGCTGCTTCTGGGTCTACGCTATTTTATATATGTGAGTGTTGGCATATAAACTGCCTACTCCATTTTAAACACTGCAGAAAAGAAGTGGAAGTTGAAGCACAGAAAGGTACAGTATCCATCTTGTCTAACTGCAGACATCTAGTAGCTTTCCCAACCTAAGTTAGCTACCCGGGGTTCTTTGATATTAGAGAAAAGAAGCAGGTCTTCTGATAGTGGGGATAGATTTGCCCCTGTTGTCTTAGATAGTTGGTTTAAGATAAGATGAATCCCCCACTGGAGGTGCTTTTACATGTCTATAATTTCATGAAATGAACTCCAGTCTAGGAGGAAGTATATGTGAAGTGGTTTTGTCTTTTTTGGTGTTCTTTTCCTTGCAAGGCTTCTGTGAACGTATTATTAACCATCTTGGAGGAATGGTCATTTGAATTGCCACTATGACATCTCTGAGTCAATGGAAAGAGAAAGCTGAAAATGTTAAAGTATTTTCTTTGTATCTGGCATGCTAAACATGGCATGAATGTCTGATTTTCTTTGTTTTCACTGTCATCTAGCAGGAGACTCGAAATTACCCAGAATCTTACCCTCAGCTGCCAAGAGATGAAACGGTGGAGAACCCTCACCTCCAAAAGCACATTTTGGAGCTGGCTTCCATACTGGATGTTAGGAATGTTTTCCTGGAAAACACCCTCGATGACTATTAAAAGAAACTGTCTTACTCTAAGCAAAGGGGTTTCCCTGGCCACAGATTTTGAATGGTGCAGTTTTATAATGTGAAAATCATAAAAGGAAGTACTTGATTTTATTTTTAAATTTAGGACCATTATTTTAAGAAGTATTAATAGACAGCTGTTAGTTTTAGCTGTTCCATTCTGTATGGGGTCAATTTTATAAGCAGAAGTTTTCATGTCTTTTAAATGTTAAACTAAAGAATCACTAGAGGTTTATTTCTGGTCTTGTGGCTGTCAACCACATTTCCAACAGCTGATCCTAAGCATAGAAGTATTATTGGTTACCTTTAGGCCACGTTTGTGGAGATCCTTTATTTTTATACAATTTTAAGAAATTGGGAAGAAAAAATCAATAGAAAAACAATATTTTATCCCCAAAGAGTCTGGATTTGAAATGGTAAAGATGGAACCACACAGTGCAGACCAACAATAGCAATAAAACAAGAGTCCTTCATAACAAATATATTTTTTCAGTCTTAGGCAAGTGAGTAGACAAAACTGTGGACAATTAAATTGCATTTGGAGCAGTGGGTTTGAAGTTGTAAAGATACTTAGTGCTCCCTATAAATTTGACACAGTAATTTTATATATGAACTTTGTACTGCTGGCCAAGAACACAATTTCCTCTCTGCCTGACTGGCAGGTGGTTAGCAGATTAACAGATTACAAACCCAAGAAAGCTAACCCTCATTTCTCACAGTAATATGGATCATCTTGCTATTTGTATTGCTGCCACAGTTTATCAAGAGGAGGGGGCATTCTTCATTTTTGAGGTACTGGATAGAAATTCTTACATTTCCAGCAGGTGGATCCCTCCTTTCTGTATATGGATGGAATGTGTGGCTCCCACAGTGTTACCAGCCCCTCAGAGGAGCTGAAGGAATGTCCCATACAGTGCATACATGAGCCCTTCCTATTGCTCGTTTATCTGACCCATCTGTGCTGGATCCCTGTGCCCCAGGAGAGATGCTGATGCTCCTCTTGCAGATTAAACAAAGTGGGTGCTGCCATAACGCCCTATTAATGTTTTGCATGCCCACCATTGCATCTCAGTCCTGTCTCTGAACCAGTAAGACGGAGGGGCTGTAACGATGGCGGCAGCACTGCAGGCTGCCTCAGCCTGTGATGCTCAGTTTGGGTATGCCCTGTACAGTGGCTGGAGAAGGCTGTTCTGATTGCTAGGAAAGTGCTTGCTGGCTCATTTGCACTGTGCTGCCTGCCTTGCAGAGCTAGAGGACCTCTTGCAACTCCTGACAGTGAAGGTGTGAGCAAGGAGGAGGAAAGGAAAATACTTTAAGCTATTAAATGAAAAAGTCCATTGTCACTGTTCCATGGCCTGTTAGAAGTGAAAGGACAAGTCTTGATCAGTGCTTTTTTGTTGAACCCCAGCCACGCCTCTATTTTTAGGTGAAAAAATGCAGAACTTGTTGGCTACCACAGTATCATGGTAGGCCTGTTTGCAGTGTCATAGCACAAGGTACGATCTAGTCAGCCGGAATAGCCAAGGGCACTGATGGACCCCATTCCTATGAGGAGAGCACAGTATGGAACAGCAAGAATTGCTGGAGTGTAGCTGGGGAGTTTGCATGAAGGCTCTTTATAGCTGGGCTGAAGCTTTTGCCATCCATTCTTTAATTTCCCAAATGTAAAAATTCCTGTGAATGCTCGTGTTCGTTCTAAGCAGTCTCAAAGCTGGTATGTTGAGCCCCCACCACTTGGTGCTGCTCTTCTTTGGACTATGGCAGGACTTCATTACCTGGGATGTGGAGTTTATTTTAAAGAGTGTGTGTTTGTGTGTGTGCATGTGTGTTCTAGGCGTTTGTGTGTATATGTACAATACTCATACATTTACTGGCTGGTGTAAATTGTAAATATGTATATATGTATAGGTACTTGTATATGTATTAAAAAGAATGAAACACTGCAATGTCTATATACAAAATTTATATATACACACATACGCCATTTTGGGTGTATTCCACAAGGTGTTGCAGATCATTTGTAGTTGTAGTAAAGGTTATGGCTCTGCTGCCATTGTAATTTGCTGTTTCCAGGGACTTTACTCTTGGACCATGAAGTAATTACTAACTCATTTCAGGTACAGGCCTTAGTTACCCAGGGGAATGAGTACTCCTGTATGTATTACAGTGGTAAGATTCGTGTATTCTTAACTGTGAAGCTGATGATCTGTCTTTCTTCGTGGTAGGAGGTCCCCAGTTATTAAGCATGGAAATGTATGTAGAAGCTAAAGATACAGAAGGCCTTCAATGCAGCAGCAAATGAGAGATGGGTTATCTATTGCCCTGCCTGCTGCTCCACCAGCAGTGTTCACCTTGCATGGGAAAAGGGAATTTAGTTTTCCCCAGCTCACTGCCTTCTACCAAATGCTTTTGTTTTGCTTTAGCTTTTGTTTTGATGAAAATGTTCTCGTTTTGGTTCCAAATACCTGGAAAAGAGTATGCTATGTCTATCCATAGGAGTGATGATGGTTCCATTAGTGTGGGCTGGTGACTTCTGGGGCATGTTGCTTGTTCACTGATTGGGAAAGCCTCGGCAGACCCAGTCTTCATCTCAGGTGGGCTGAAGCACGGAGTCCTTGCTTGTGATCTGAGAGGCTTCTAATCCACTTTTCAGCCCTAAGAAGAGGTTCTGTTTGCTTGTTACCAAGGTAGATCTAATCAGAGGAGAATGTATTCCTTAAAAAGCAAAAAAACAAAACCCAAACACCTGCAGAAGCTGGAATGTAGGAAGAGAATATAAGGCCTTTGAAATTAGTTCAGAAGTCAAACTTATCAGTGATGACTGTCCAAATCAAAAGTTCATTCTTGAGGTCCCTCATTTTCTTCTTACCTACTGACCTTTTGTTCAGAAGGGATGCTGCTGGCAGGGGTATTCAAAGACTAAGATTTCACTCCTGTTGTGTCGGTAGGAGTACGAAATCGTGCTTTCTAAGCAAAAGGCTGATACAATCTTCTCTAGCTGTAGATAGGATGAGTATCTGATCTTAGATTTTGAGCCAGTCCCCTCCCATCCCACCCAAAGCAACTGTATTCAAGATGAAAAGACTGTTATTTTCCCCTCCAAGTAAAAGCTTGTCTTGTTTGAACTTACTAAGTCATTCTAAACTTGTGCTATTATGTGCTGTGTGCTGTGGTTGTAGGTACCTTCTCGATGTGTGCTTGTATGTACTGAAGAAAAATTTGATTTATATATCTAGCAGTCCTCAGTGTGAAAGCAAAGCAAAGACTGAACCATTTTTAAGTGAGAACAAATTCTTTTCTTCTCAGACCTAAAGCCCTCCCTCTTGTCTTGCTTTCCATTTCTCCATAACATAATCTTTATTGCTTATGTTGGTGGAGAAGCCTTGCCACCACCAGGCAATGTGGAATTAAAGGGGTAAATTCTGTATGTAGTATATTGAGAGGAAAATGTGAACTGGACCAAAGGTGTCCTTACTGGACTACTTCTGCGTGGCTCCCCTCTTACTGCACGTGGCATGTTCAAACACGTCCTGCTCCCGCAGCAGGTACCTCTGTACTCCTGCTCAGACTGGCTGTAGAACATCTAGCCAAAGTTATGCTGTTGCCTTGTTTTTTCCCCTTTGATTTCTCAAAATAACAATGACGGGAATACAGGGTTATGAGTCTTTTAATGTTCTGGTTTTTAATTACTCTTGAGATGTGTCATTTTGCTTCATGTGCAAGCTAATCGGAGCACTAACTTCTGTGAGCTGTGCAAACCAGACTCGCTCCCTGGAGTGCTTTCTTGGGAACTTTCAGGATGGTTGGTTTGGGTAGGTCAGCAAAAAAGTATCTGTCAAGTCATGATGTACTAAACCCCTCAAGACTGTTCCCTAGGGAGATGTCTCTTAAGGATCATAGGAAATGGAGAGAACAGGAAATCAGGCTCCCAATAATCATCCTCAAAAGCTACCAGGTCAGTAGCTCTAACCAGGCTTTTCCCCTAAGGATGGGGCAGAGCTGCTCCAACAGTCACCCCTGGCATGCTGCTGTGGAGCACCTCTCCTTTCCCGCCACCTTCCCTGTGCTGTAACTGTGCTTCAAGTCTACTTTTCCCAGAAAGCTAAAAGCCTGGAATCTGTCTGAACAACTTTCTTGTCATGAGGCTTCTTTTGTAAAAGCTTTATCTGTGTTAGATTCTCTTTCAGTGACTGTTCTGACTATAGACCACCACCGATAGCTGGGGCAGAGCCCTTGTTCCCTCCTGCCTGTTCCATGTTACGTAGCTGCTTAGTGTTGGTGGCTTATCTGTGGTGGCTGCTGCTGCTCCTGGGACCAAGGGAGCTCTGCAGGCTGCAGCAGCAAGAATTAAGCTTACAAACAAGGGTAAAAATCTAATATACAGAGCTGAAAGCTACTCTATGCCAACTGCCTTATGTCAGGCTGGCTGTAGTCAGCATCCGTGTGCGGGAGGCTGGTGCAGAGGATGGGGCACAGATCTCCAGAGCAGAGATCCTACATTCCTGAGGTGGCTCTTGTACATTTTTAGTATCTTTGACTTTTAGAGCAATACCGTGTCTGTGACCAAATGTACTGCAAGTGCTTGGAAGATCTGAATGTCCACAAACAGAGCAGGGGAGGAACACATCAGACGTATCTGCTTTATATTTAGGAGTGAAATTAAATAACTTTTTTTTCTCCTCTCCAAACCATAACCGTGTCACGACAAGAGGAGATTTAGTTCATGATTTCTGAATTTGACAGATCTTTTGAGGGATTAAGGAGTGTCTTTGATTCCTACTGACTTACTAACGTGCCAGGTGCCTGGATGCATGCCTACGTCTTTTCCTCTTAAGAGATCCTGGTTTCATTCCCATTGAGAGCAGACTTGGGTACAACTTTCTGGCCTGAAGGAGTGCCCTACGCAGCACAGCTCTTCCTTCCAGAGTAAAAGCCTGGTCTGAGTATCTGCCCTGTTAACTCTGCAGCTTTCTTTAGGCACGTGTTTATTAC